TGCTCATATAACACAAGTCTTCCGGCTTGGAAACTTGAAACCGCCTGATTCCATATTAAACATTTCCCCTCTCCCACACTTTTTATTTTCCCTCGTATTTCCCTGACTACCTTACAAACTCCATTTGTCTTTGTAGTCCCTTTTCCTTTGCTGACACAGTATTAAATGCCGTGTGTGTGTGTGTGTGTGTGTGTGTGGCGTGCGCGTGCACTTTATATATATATATATATATATATATATATATATATATTCATATAAACATATAAGCATATATAAATACCATAAATATGTATATCCCCATTCATTTCTCACAATAATGTACATACCATTATTGTTCCTATTGAAAGCTTAGGAAACTTAGGCACAGGGAAGTTTAGTAACTTACCTGATGTTACACAGATAGTAAGTGAAGAAGCAGGATTTGAACCCACGCTGCCTAACTCTAGAGCCAGAGTCCTTAACTGCCAGGTTATCCTGTCTCAGGGAGAGTATACACAAACACCAAGGCCCATGTAAGCTTGAAGCTGCTAGGGCCATCTGGTGCCAAGTGAGAGAAGCACCCTACCCCCAAATGAATCCTATGCAGGAAACGGAGAGTTGAAGGGAGACAGAGAGGAAGACAGAGAGAGAATGAGAGACAATATGAGAGAGAGATGATTATTTTATTGTTTTTGTTTATTTATTTAAATCCTTGGGAGAATACAAAGCTAGAAACTAACTTTGGTCTTTCTAATTATACAAGGACATAGAGTCTTTTGTCATTTATAGTTATGTGTTCTTAACCAGAAGGCTAACCCACAATTGTATACAAAGTTCTTTGCATATAACTTTAAAAGAACCATAAAATAATGTATAGGCCTATCTCTAGGAAGAATCTCAAAAGAGACCTTGGTTCTACCTAAGTGTCATGTATATAATAGCATCTCAGTCAAGTCTCCTCAGCTAACATAAGGTGGGACACTTACAGCAAGGCAGTTGCCATGTGGCTAGCTTATGCTAACATGGGTCTATCCCTGGAGCTATACTTCTATGAAGCAGATACACTAGTTCCTATATTAAGCCAGGTGCCACAGTGCCTAAAATCCCTTCATAAAAAAAATTATTAATTATAACTTCTAATCATCTTTTAAAATGCAGAGTGAGTTCTTACAAAATTAAAAACGCATGCTTGAAACGTAAGTGTCCATCAATGGATGAATGGGTAAAGAAATTGAATGCACTAAATACAACAGAATATTATTCAGTCATAAAAAAGAAGGAAATCCTGCCACTTGTGACAATGTGGATGGATCTTGAGGGCATCATGCTAAGTGAAATAAGTCAGAGAAAAACAACTACTGTACGATCTCACACGTGAAATCTAAAAAAAGAAAAGAAAAAGAAAAAAAAAGAGAAAAAATGAAATTTATAAGTAAAAAGAACAGATTGGTGGTTGCCAGAACCTGGGGGTAGGGGGTGAGTGAAATGGGTAAAGGGGGTCAAAAGGTACAAACTTCCAGTTATAAAATAAATGAATCCTGGGATGTAACATATATCATGGTGACTACAGTTAATAGTACTGTATTGCATATTTGAAAGTTGCTAAGAGAGTAGATCTTAAAAGTTCTCAGCACAAGAAAACAAATTTGTAGCTATGTATGGTGTTGGATGTTAACTAGACTTATTGTGGTGATCATTTTGCAATATATACAAATATCGAATTATTATGTTATAAACCCAACACTAACATAATATTATATCAATTACATCTCAATTAAAAAAAAAAGGAAAACGCACATTTATGGCATCTCTTTCTCCAAATCTCACTAGAATGATGGCTTCTCAGTCCTGGTTCTGTTTGTCTTCAGACCCATTTTCTTGTTCCCTTGTTCTGTCCTGCTTTATTATGCAAAAAGACTGCCTTCTGCTAGGCTGGGTTTCCTAGGTTTCCACAGTTTAGCAAATAGAAGCACTGGTGGGAGACTGAAGACTTGGGAGAAATGAGAAAGTAGAGGATTTTTCTCTCTGTCTGTCTGCCTCAGGTAGTGAACCTGGCAATGGCTGGGGTTCCAGCTACAACTAGACAGATCTACTATGGTTCCAGCTTCACCAGGTAACCCTGGCCCTTGGGCTCAGGTAATACCACCATCTCCCTTGGCTCTCAGCCTGGGGTAACAGAATTGATCATTTACAAAGTTAAAAAAAGGAAAAGAAAAAGAAAAAAAAATCTCTGTAAAGGATGAGTTTGGAAATGCGTTTTCATTCCACAATGAAAAGAATTAGACAGAAATAGAATCCAAAAAGAAAAGACTAAACTCCAAGAAGTAAAAATTTAGTTTGCTATACTTCTGCACATGAGATGTTGTTGAAAATGAGCCATTTCCATACTTAGGTTAATTCAGAGTACTGCCTTTTAAGTAATATTATCCAAGGATAGGCAAAAACAGCCTACAAAACAACTCTGAAGTAAGTGAGGTTTGGCATGGTGTATGTCATCTCCCACTTTGACAATGCCTACAACAATTTAGAATCCAGTGCCCCTGATGTCATTAAGGAAGGTGACATGTTAAAATTACCAATGCTGCATGGTTTCATATGTTATCTCTTACAGTTTACAGTTTATCTTATTTAGAAATGTAGTCATCTCCTGTACAATATAATGGTGAAGTGATTTCAGCATTTAGTCTGTCCTATCTATTCCCTGTCACTTCTGTGTTAGTACCCAGTGAGATAGGCTGCCAATCTTTGCATATTCTACTTCTGTTGCAAAGTCAGTTGCACGTTATTTTGGACTTTCAGTTTACTCTATGATTGTGTCTTTATTCAATATACTTTTTATTGCTATACAGGTCAAATATCATCCCATATCAAATTCCCTTCTTCTTCAGGGCACCTGGATGAATTATATTTTCCCTCCCCTCTGAAGTTAGACAACAGCATGTGACTAATTCCAATCAATGAATGCTATTTTCAAAATATCCATGTAACAAAAAAGATGTAAAGCCCCAGTTACTTGGCACATCCATTTCAAGAAGTATTCTATTCAAACCCAGTACCATGAAATAATATAATTTTTGAAACTTATTGTGATGAAATTCCTACTAACTCATCAGACTGTGAGCTCTTTAGGACAGAGCTCGCCTGGAACCCACAGGCACTAGATACTTAATAAGTAAATGAATGAATGATTCAGTGTGACTGAATGAGTGACCATAATTTCAATATCATGTCTTATTTAAATCATTCTTATTTCTCCTCTGGGTTCATTCGAACACGTCACCAATTTAGGAAATTAACCTTAAAAAAACCAGTTTATTCCTCAGTGAGGCTAGAAACAATATTCTGGCTTTTCAAAGGTTGGCATGCAGTCTAAGAAGGAAATGCCTGTGAGTTTTGCTTTCTGTTTCTGAACACTGTAAAAAGATGGGCCAGGAAGTGCATGCAATTTTACATTTGAATGTAATTGTGGTTTTCTTTCTCTGTTTGGGTTTGGTGACTTGAGGCTGTAATGGACTGAATGTTTGTGTCCCCCCAGATTCATATATTGGACCCCTAACCCCAGTGTGATGTTATTTGGAAATGGGGCCTTTGGGGAGGTAGTTAGGTTTAGGTGATGTCACGATATTAGACTCGGTGGAGTGCTGATAATGGGGTTAGTACTCTGATAAGTAGAGGGAAAGATATCAGAGCTGCCTCTCTCCCTCAAGTGAAGACACAACAAGGAGGTGGCTGTTTACAAGTCAGGAAGAGGGCCCTTACCAAGAACCAAATGGACTGGCACTTTGATCTTGGACTTTCCAGCCCCAGAATTATAATAAATGTCTGTTGCTTTAGCCATCCAGTCTATAGTATTTTGTTATAGCTGCTCAAGCTAAGACAGGGCCAAATTCTCATCTTCTCTCATTTAGAAATGCAATATTATTTGCATGTCACAGCCTTGCTTTCAGTAGGCAGCTTAAGATTCTGCTGCCTCTTTAGGGAAATTAAGCAACATGTCCATTCAATGATCAGCCTGACTCTTCAAGTATTTTCTAACTTCGGCAGTGAGGGTCTGTTCAACCACCATTGGTTGCAAGGCACTGTTTGCTATTGAGCTCCAACGTAGGTACGCTGCTCTTAGGTTTGAAACAATGCAAATAAATGGGAACTTTCACTAAATTCTAACAGCTTCTAATTTAAAAAATAGAGAGCTCAGTAATTCAGCCACAGATTTATTTTTAAAAATGCTCTAGATCATAGTAAAACCCATATGAATTTTTTTCACTTTTTTCACATGGTAAATAGAATTATTACATTGCCCTGATTTGCATCTTCCTTTAAGAGCAAATGCATTTTCCTAGAAATATGGCATTTTGCATTGGCAAATGGTTGCCACTTTAAACACTATTTAAGAAGTTTACTTGAAATTTCGTCTTTTTTTTTTAAAACATTTATTTATTTTTGAGACAGAGAGAGACAGAGCATGAACGGGGGAGGGTCAGAGAGAGAGGGAGACACAGAATCCGAAACGGGCTCCAGGCTCTGAGCTGTCAGCACAGAGCCCGACGCGGGGCTCGAACTCACAGACTGCGAGATCATGACCTGAGCCGAAGTCGGACGTTTAACCTACTGAGCCACCCAGGCGCCCCGAAATTTTGAAGTCTCACATCGGAATGCTGACTATTAAGTAGCAATCTGTTATATGCAATGCCTAATGAAAGTCTGCTGTCATAATTCACTGAAGTTCAGTTTTTACATCATTTTGATAAATTTATCCCGCTTACCAGCTTCGCCACAAATCATACCTAATGGTTGTCATGTGAAGTCAGTAAAATATCATATACCTTCTGATGACCTCTTTCCAAAAGTGCTTTTCCCTATTCACATTTTATCTGTCAAACAGCATTTTCCTTAAGAAGTAAATATAAATGCCACTATTGGGAGAAGCTACTGGCCTAGGACAAGTTCTAGCATTTAGTGTTCTGACATCTTAATTTGGATATCAGCCAAAGTCAATAAAACTTGTTCATGCAGAACCTTACCTGGTTTTCACCACATCGAGGGGGTGCATCAGGCAAATTTCTACAAGACCTGAAAGACGATAAAGAAAAGTCCAATAAACACTTATGTAAACACTGGTTCTTGTTTCCTTGACCCCATTGATTTCTCAAGTATGAAGATTCAAATAAAACTTGGGGCTTTGGAAATGGCAGCTCGTAGTCAGAGACTAGTAGCAAAAGACAAAAGTATGAGTGCTCTGGCACAAGCATGGAGGTGGGGCTGTAGGGGAAAGAAAATGCAAAAGGAATCAGATGTCCAAAATTCCAATCAACTAGGCAGGAACTATTGTGTACCATTCCAGTCCAATAAATAAATATATGTCAACGGAAAGGAGGAAAGAAAAGAAGGAAAGAAGGGAGAGAAGCTTGGTTTCAGCACTTCTACTGCCACTCACTAACATGACAAATCATAGCCTCAATCTCAGTGTGCATGAAATAAAGATAATGATGTATTTTATCTCCCTGGGTAGGTACAAGGCTCCAATGCATATTTAATACATTAACAGCTTAATAGAAAATATATATATTAAGTGTTCTTTGCATGCTAGACAGTATTCTAAGCAGTGCCTAGTTTATCTCATTTAATCTTCACAAGAGCTTGCTGGGTAGCAGGTATTATTATTCCCATTTTACAGATGAGATCATTGAGGCACACAAGGTTAACAACTTGTCTAAGATCTCACAGCTAAGAAGTATGCAGTAACCTCATAAAAAGCCCATGATCTTAACCACTGCACACTTAGAATTTCTATACCTTCTTGCAAATCCATTGTAAAGCCCTCCTGCTGTCTAACTGAGCAGAGAAGACTGCTCAATTACAAACTACTGGCATGTAACAATAGTAGCAGTAAAAATAGTATTATGTACTAGTGGTAGTAAAAATAATGATGGCAGTGATGGTCATTTAACACACAGTATCACAGGTATGCAAAACTACTAAGCAAGGTGAGTATGTATTATCTTCGTCTTTACTTGAATATAAGCAAACTGAGGTTGACAGTGTTGGTTGATTTGCCCAAAAGCCATATTATTTGTGGGTAGTTTCTTTTTTTTTTTTTT